CTTTGCAGAGAGTGGTGAAGGCTGCATAGAAGATGTTGGAGTCAGCCTCCCCACCATCACAGACATTTACACCTCCAGATGCAGGAAGAGGGCCACCTGCATCATGAAGGACCCCACTCACCCAGCACACACACACACACACTTTTTGCCCCGCTCCTCTCAGGAAGGAGGTTAAGGAGCATTAAGTGTAGAACCTCTAGACTGAGGAACAGCTTCTACCCTGAGGCTGTTAGACTCATGAATCTCTAACCAGAATAATCACTGTGAAAAATCACATCATGTTGCTGCTGATCTGTTTCATGTTGCTGCTGATCTGTTTCAATGTTGCTGCTGATCTGTTTCATGTTGCTGTGCTCATTCGCGCTCATCTGCTCACACAGACTCATGTTCGTGCTGCAGTTCGGCGTATTGTGTTTATTGTTTTTATGCTATTAGTGCTAAGCGTATTTTTAGTTAATGTTTTTCTTAGTTCATATCTTCAATCAATCAATCAACCTTTATTTAGACAGGTAAATCCCATTGAGCCTCGAGGACTCATTTACAAGAGAGACCTGATTTCAACAAAGAATGATGACAACAATGGACAACAGCAACAACAATAAACAGTTATAAAAAGTCATACTGCAGGTTTTTTTTTTGGTTTTTTTTACAAATAGGATGGCTAAAAGGAAAAGGTAACAACAACAAAAAACAGCTAGATTCTAAGGCGAATGTAGAAAACTAAAAACAGGATCATGTCTGCATTGGTCCCTGCCAGGAGTCCAACAGATTCTTAAAGCCACTTAAAGAGGACAAGGTCGAGAGCTTCAGATCTTTTTGTAAGATATTCCAGGAAACAGGAGCAGAGTAGGAGAAGACCCTTTTGCCTAGTTCAGTCCTCATTGATGGAACTTTGCAGGTAATAATGTCCTGAGATCTTAGATCTTATTACTGTTTTTCGTTTACATTTTATTGATGGATGTAACTGGGACCCTGTGTACACAATTTCGTTCCACCACATGTACCACATGTGCTGTGTATGACAAATAAATAAAGAAATATCTGTGATTAGAACAGTGTGGCCACTCCACAAAATGGCCACTTTCTGCAACAACAAGCAAGGGTGTATCTAAAAGAAATTGAGTAAACATTAAGGTAACTGTGCCTACTCTTTACTGAATAAACATGTTTACAGTTTGTGGGATTTCACCAATGTTTCTGTGATGTCATCACTAGTGGCCTGTGCAGTGTTGTATAGAAGAGCAGGCTGTGTAAAAACACAAAAATGTTGCTTTTTTCAATTTCTTAGAACCCAAGTGCTTTCAACATTAAGCCATTCCTGCTATTGACTATCAACATTTAATTAAGAAACAAACTAACTGGATTTACAAATTCCCTTCCATTACTGACAACTGGCATTATCTTCTGAGAAACTCTAAAAATCATGTGCAATCTTTAACCTTCACTTTTTCTGCAGCATGCACCCCAACAGAAATACAAAATAACGTGTGCAAACATACAGAGAATTTATTACTGCAAGGTAAAAATGTTAACTTATCAATCATCTTTGATGAGCCTTTTAACTTTATCATTAGGATAAATTAATTATGAACTGCCCCTTCTTTACAGTAGAACAGATGTATGTTAGTGCATCTTCATTATATTGTCAGCTCTTGACACTGGTTTTGAAAACCCATCCAGTAAACAGGGTATAAATAACCTCCACCAGTGTCTGCTCAAGGTAAGCATGATAATGTCAAGGTTTCCACTTTATTAGGAGCTACACTGTCATCAGGCCTGACTTCCTCTTTACGCTCTTCGTCCTCTACCTTTTCCCCTCTCTTCTCTCCATCCTTTGAACAGCAAAATAAAAAAAGGCAACATATCTCTGGAGAGCAGGAGGGCATCTATCTCTGACAGAGCTCACATTTTGTTTTTCAATAAGCTAGAGAGCTATGGACACAAAAGATACACAAAAATAAGTAAATTAACTATTAAAAATGGCTAATTTGCACAGAATATATAGTTTTCCATTAAAAATGCAATATCCCTCCTTTGTTTTGGTCAATGATGACTTTTAAATTGATCAATCATCAATACATTTTCTTATAAAAATAAAAAAAAATAATGCCTCTTTCCATTTGTCAATTTATTATAAAACAGTGATGAACCATGGCTATAAGAGCTGGGCCTTCAGCTGGGGTATAATATTGTAACAACCTAACGTCAAAATCCTTACAAATTTGTGAACTTACTTTACTAATTTAATTTTTTATAGTCACTAACAATTCAATTCAGTTTATTTATATAGCGCCAAGTCACAACAGAAGTCGTCTCAGGGCACTGAACAGAAACATTAATATGTAAAAATCATAATTTAACACTATTTATCTGAGGAGCAGACTGCTTTGAGTTTACCTCCATCACAGAACTCTCATCTTGAGCAAGCATGAATGCGACAGTGGAAAGGAAAAACTCCCTCATGAGGAAGAAACCTTTAGCAGAACCAGACTCAGGACAAGCATCCATCTTCTTAGTCCGGCTGGGTTTGAGAGGAACGGATACACAATGGCAGGTCAAGAATCACATGTTAAGATAGAAATAGTATCAAATGAAAAATATTCAATTTTAACAATTCATTGAAGGAAATTAGGTCAGTTTGTCTTCTAGTAGTCTAAGCCTATAACAAGCCAACCCTAATTAAAGGATTTATCAAAAATCTTAAAACTGGACAAACAACAAACATAAATGCCAATTCATCACTAAACCGTTAAAGCAAGGTTAGTGCATTTGTACACAAAAAACAAAAAAGTCCACCCATTTCTGTTCTAAAACTACCCAGCACCCAGTCTGTTGTGTTCAAGTTGAACATATAATTTCAATAATTCATATGGAAATTTACCAGTAACTCACACAACTTACTGTTTCTGTCAGAGCTCAATTTTCAGTTTCAAACAAAACAGTTTGCTGGGGATTCTCGAAGGCTCAAAACCTTGTAGCTATTATTATTTAGTTAACATTTTCTGTATTTGAGCCTCTTTTTGTGCTGCAGGACACAACCTGCTCCTACACAAACACACACACGAACCTTTGAACTACTCTGTAATGCAGTATCAGGTTTTCTTATGAAACTGATATAGAGGGTGACCTTTAAGCCGGACCAGCATGGTCAAATCAGCAGCCCCACCTCCACCATTTCTCTCTCTCACACACAAACTGCACTCCCATGGCTTTCAGTGTGGAGGTATCTCCAGACATGGAGAGAGTGGGACTTCCTGTTTATGATCATGTGAGCAAATATTACCAGCAAAGCTGTAAAAACCACCTGCACAACATTCCTGCTAATTGTTGAAAGTGATGATGAGCCGCTGTAAGAAAGCCTTGATGCACTGAAACAATGTTGATAGAATCATACACTGGTGTCAGTTTCTGCTTTCCCACCTGCGTTTCGAACAGCGGACACATAATACAGGAAAGCTGAGAGAGTCAGGGGATCATCCTGTGGAAATATTTGAGGTTTCATGGTGCTTGGAAGATCTGAGGCAAGTCCAGATCATTTGAAACTGGGCTCTGCAGAAATGTTATTAATATCTTACATGTTGTAGATAGCTCTTTGAACGGCTTCATTTTAGAAACATGCATCGTTTAAAGAGCTATCTACAACAGGTAAGATATTAATTATTCATAACCTTTCCACAGATCCTTATTTCAAAATAACATTCCCTTTTAACAACAACAACAACAACAAAAACGAGTTAAAAACAGCTCAATAAAAGATGATCTCAGAGTCTTGCGTCCTGCACTGATTTACTTGCACTCTTCATTTGCATTCACAAATGAAGCCCCACCTGAAAACCTCCACGCAGGAAGATAAAAGTAAATTTAGCATGACATGTTTCCGACGCTGAAACATTCAGCCTGTCTGCAGGAAGAAGCTTCAGACAAACCTGACATCTGAGCTCAGCTGGCTTCAAAATGCTAATCCAGTCCACTTTCTCTGTCGGGGCTACACGAACCACAGGGGGACTGGTGAAGAGACAACAACCGAACAGATGCCATTTTAGCACCTTTCTCTTTAGCAGAGGGGAGGTAGATGCGTGGAGCTGCAGGAAACCATAAAAACTGTATCCACACATGCAGAGTCTGTTAGCTGAGGGAGATACATTTGCAGTACGGTGCTGTGCAGCAGAGGGAGAAATGACTGAAACAGATGCTGTAATGCTCAGTGTCCCACTGTGATTTCTGCAGGTTTGCATGCTTTGCAAACAAGCACAGCCCACCCGCTCTGATAATCAGAATTATTAGATGTGCACAAACCTCATCAGAACCAAGAGTCAGAGGAGGTGCTTGGTTTTGGAGGAGAGTCACAGCATCAGCACATCCTTTAACCTACTGCCCTTATTCAGCCCCCTCCCCCTGCTTCACGGCTATCTGCATGGCAGCATACTGTAGTGTAACCTCCCACGCCCCCACCCCTCACACACACATACACACTTGTTTAAAATAAATGTTAAAGAGTCCTGCGTGGACGTGACGGCGCACAGTAATTGGGCAGCCAATAACGCGCAGATGCACCCGAGAGAAAAACAAACAAACATTTATTTTAAGGGTAAGATAATTGGAACAGAAAAGTCACAAATGCTAATCTCAGCAGGTCCTCTCATAAATCATCTGGAATTAGGAATTGGCTTTTGGTGGTGTTTGATGGAGGAGGTGGATTAATATTTGCACGCTTGGGGAAAAAAAAAGACGCGTTTGGTGCGTAAAAACGTGAAATGAGAGCTTCTCTGTCCCTTCACATCAACATTTCTGCCCTCATCGACAAATGAATTATCATCATCATCATCATCATCATCATCATCATGGTCATCATCATCATCATCATTATTATTATTATTATTATTATTAAGGCACAAAGAGAAACCACATTATTCTGCATCCCCCTATCTCCATGTGGTCATGCAGGTGCCAAGGACCACCCCCCCCCCCCCCCACACACACACACACACACACACACTCACCTCACAGTTATACAGGTAAACGAGCTGCTCAATGATCCACTCCTCCAGCTGCAGCCTCTTCCGGAGCTCCTTCCTGTCGTAGCGCACCGTCACTTTGCCCTGCCTCCTGTGGTTCTGGTCCTCCTCGGTGATGGACCCCTCGCAGCCCACTCGCGGAGGTGCGCCCTGGAAGAAGACGCGGCTGCCGTCGGGGGGCAGAGGAGAGGCGGTGGTCTCGGTACTGGCGGCCGACATGTTGGCAGGGATAAGAGGGTGCTTTGGTGGTGGTAGGGGGTTCCTTGACTAAATAAAAAGTGTGAATGAAGAGGAGGCGCACTGCGGAGCTGGACTGCAGGCAGGAGGAGAATGTGAGGAGCTTTTAAACAGCTGCTATTTAAAGCAGCAGAGAGGAGGAGGAGGAGCGCGCGCTGCAAGAAACGACGATGGACGGAGCTGTTTGGAGGATGAAATCCAACTCTGCTCTTCTGCTGATGGATGATTGGAGGAGGAACCTGCACAGAATCTGCCAATACTTTATTTAAACTCTTTAAATTTACTTTGGTATGGCAAGTTTTATCACAAATGTTGATTTCAAAGTGGGGGTTAGTTTATTATTTGCAGCGTGTTAGCTGATTTCCCTCAATGGGCTTCCATGCGCACCAGCAGTTGATGTGTTGGGGTGGATTAATTCCTCTCTCCTGCCACCTTGTGCTTGAACACAGCAGGCAAATTAATTTAAAGAATTGTGCAAAAGTCTTGAACTTCCCAATTTTCTTTAAACTGGGTTTGGATCAACAGTTATTTTTAATTCCATGTGATTTCTCCACTCATTTTCTGTTTGTGTGCACTGTAAAAACGAGCTGTTACTGTTAGTCCAATATATTTGGTGTAGGTTTGTTTTATTTGGGTTGTTTACGACCAATATTTTTGAGTAAACGTGCACACATTTTATCTGTAAGCCCTATTTTAACTGACAATTTTATACTTTAAAATTCTCAAACACTTTCATTTAATAACTTCTGCATTTTTTACTCATGTGAGTAAAAAAGAACGGATTCTTCTTTGTTGAAACTTTTTGTCTTTTAGTCAAAAGACGTCTTCAGTCTGAGGAGCTGCAACAAACTCAGTCTTATAAACAGCACCTCCTCATATGGATGCTGGTGCAGCCGAGCACATGTAAAAGGAGGATCATCAGCCTAACGACCGATTGTAAGTGCTCTGATTACCACGTGCTGTTCACAGAGGGCTGAGTGATACTAGCATTCACAGCATTGTAAGAGGGGGACAGTTGAACCCGGAGGCCTCCACCCCTGTTTAACGATGGACGATTTCTTTTCACAAAGATGGCCTCCTTTACTCCTCTCTCAAACCATCGTTCCTCTCCATCCAGGATATGAACATCTTCATCCCTGAAAGAGTGACCGCTGGCCTGGAGATGAGTGTAGACCGCAGAGTCCTGGCCTGATGATGTTGATCTTCTGTGCTGGTCCATCCTTTTGGCCAGTGGTTGTTTAGTTTCCCCGATGTAAGACTGATCACAGCCCTCCTGACACTGAACAGCATACACAACATTACTCTGTTTGTGCCGGGGGACTGGATCTTTGGGATGAACCAGTCTTTGCCGTAATGTATTTTGGGGTTTAAAAGCCACTGGGACGTTATGTTTAGAAAAAAAAGTCTCAATTTCTCTGATACTCCTGCAACATAAGGGATGACCACTGGTCTGGGTTCTTCCTTTTCACCTGGTTGGAGTCCTGTTTGGGTTTCTTCTCTGCTTTCAGGAAGGCCCAGTTAGGATATCTATATTGCTCCAGGACCTGTCGTGTGTAGGATTTCTCCTTCTGCCTGGCTCCTGAGCTAGTGGGGACGCTGTCTGCTCTGTGGTACAGAGTCCTGATGACTCCTAACTTGTGCTCCAGAGGGTGATGGGAGTCAAACCTCAAGTACTGCTCTGTGTGGGTGGGTTTGCGGTCAGTTGTCATCCATCAGAAACTGAGACCTCCCAATCCAAAAAGCCAACCTGTCATCGTTTACATCTTTTTGTGTGAACTTGATGCATTTATCCACAGAGTTGATGTGATCAGTGAAATGTGGGACTTCCTGAGATTTAATTTTAACCCGGTTTTACAGGTACTTTTGCGAGGGGGGGGGGGGGGGTGGGGGGGGGGGGGAATGGCCACATTAGAATGCATTATAAAAACAAATTTTAATTCATCATCAAATAACGCACCCCTCTCAGTGACATTTACTCTTTTTCTCAGTTGCTCTGGTGCATTTCTCACATGATTTTAAATTTGCTCAGCAGTTGGTGCATTTCTCTAAACAGTTAGTACAAATTGCAAAACCTAGTTGATAACATGCAAAAGTGTGTCACTAGCTCGAGACGAATAGTTCATTCCTCAAAAGCAAGTATTCATGTCAATGAAAGTGTCAGTGTTCTCAAAATGACAAGTCCTGACACCACAATGGCTTTATGTTTTCACGTTGACAGTTCACTCTGTAAAAGTTTTCCAAGGCAAATAAAAGTCAGATCTTTGTGTTGCTACCTGAAAATGTTCAAGACAGCACTATACACGATTTGCATAGCCATTTGATATCTACAGTTAAGTTAAACATTAAAGTATTTAGTGCTGTAAATGAGTTCAAGACACTAAACATGCATGTTTCACATTTTTATGGCATATGATCTTTACAATCCTAACTTGTTCACAGCATTGAGTAAAAGCAAAGTACAAACTTCCTTACAACAAACATAAGAAATGCCCTTGAGTTGAGCTGCGCACAACTATAAACTATAAACAACAATGCAGCCCGTTGGAACTGAATTGGACCATACAACATGCACAGTACTGTGAATCATTCTTGCACATCCAGATGTTCCTGTCTGTCTGGCCACATATTTTCATCAACATCGCAGCGAATATCATCCCTGGCACTGCAGCAAGGAAAGTATCTCCTCAAGTGGGGAATCCACCCTCTGCAGGACTCTGCTGTGTCATCACATGCTGCATTCATGGCCACTAGCAGGGCCATTTGGACATGTGGTCATACCTTCCACCTCCAGGCAGAGAAAAACTACACTATTGGATTAAGGAATGGGGAGTAGTGGGAGATAGTCCACTAGCATCCTTTCATGTTCTGCAAACCACTGTCTGACCAGATGTGAGTGGTGAAAATGCACATTATCCCATACAACAACATACTTGTTCAGGTGATTTTGACTCCTCTCATTCTCAAGGATCATGTCCCTTAAGTGTGTCTTAAAAAAACAGCAGATGCCATGTGTTGAATGGACCAAGACAGTTTTAAGGTTAAGAGGCTGTGTTCTGAGATGACTGCACACATTGTAATATTCCCTCTTACTTGGCCTGGGACATCAATGGTTACTCTCTGTCCAGTGCTATTTCTTCAACACCTTCTACCTTTTGCCAGATTGAAATCCACCACATCAACTTTTATGAATGTGCGCAGTAGTTCCCTGGCCTCCAGCTCTAGTACTTTGTACATGCTTTATTCCAGAAGAGAGAAAAACTAACAACTGTTCCTGTGCAACATAATGCATTTTGGACAACATATTGTACAATAGGAACTGCCATGTAAGTGAAGAAAATTTCTAGAACTAGTATTCATCTGCAAACATAGATTCAAATAATGCTCAGAGCATCCCCATTCTTAATTTTACCTACAGTTTCATCACTGGTTCGTGTGTCCAAATGGCCACATATGTTTAACTTTGGAACAAAAGGATGTTTGTTTACAAAAGAAAAAATGCACAGGGTTTCAGAGATAATCTGAACAAACAAGAACTTGAAACGGAACTTTTTCAAATGTCTAAATGCTCAAGTGGAACAAGTTTACATGAGCCGAGGTAAAATGGGCACAACATTTTGTTTATTTTCCAGCAAAAAGTTAAGTTAGTTTTTCTAATGGAACTGTAGAATTAAACTGGTTTATTCGAGGTTTTGCTTTTTGATTGTTTGCTTTTATAAACAGAGTTGATCTCAGAAAGAATGAGGTGGAATATTAACTTCAGCGCAGGACTTTGTAATACAGATTTTAAACTCTGCAGGCTGGCCTGATTTTCTGATGATCGGGTGAATGTGAGGTTCAAGAGTCATTCTGCTTCTGACGTAGACGGACCCACTTCAGATAAGAGAAGTGGAGTGTCATAACATCAGGACTCAGCTGAAGCGAGCCGGGTCCTCAGTCATGGCTCTCCTGTCCGTCCTCACACCTGTCCTCGCTCTGGTCCTGTGCCTGGTGATAGGCTTCTTGTTTCTGAGATCTAGGGATGCAGAGACCACCTCCAGAGCCCCAGCACAAACCAAAGGGACCTCCAAAACAGACTTTAGACCCTGGGTGGACCAAGACTTACTGGATGATACAGAAATTACAGCAGCAGGAGGAGGTGAGCACAAACCTAGGAAGAATTCCTTATTTTGTCCGAATTGTACAATTTTTGCATGGCTGACGTAATTTAACGACTGATTTCATTTCATCATTCCTGGAAAGGTCAGTCTGAACTGGTAGATATGCTGTGGTTTCTGAGCAGGTGGTGGCCTGTGTTTGTTGTATGGGATTAGTTGTGATTGGTTTATTCAAGTCCAGCAGCTGTTCAGTTAACTGTTAGTATTAAAAAATAACACATCAGTAGTGTTTACTGACATAATTTGTTGGGAAAACTAACAATTATTACCAGGGTACATACTTATTTAAATATTCTGCCATCTTTCTTTATGTTGATATAACTCTGGCACATCACGTTGCTTTGTTCATGGCTCATGCTGGACCAGGGGTCTGCAACCTTTACGATCAAACGAGCCATTTTTACACCTTTGTTCACTAAACTAAAAGTGTTCAGAGCCGCATCAACATGCTACAACTGTTACCAACTGGTGGACCGTGGGCCACTTCAGATTTGCTGGAGGGGGCTTTTGTGGCCACTAGGGGTGACACTATAAAGCTAAAAATATCTAATGGCTTGCACTTATTGATATTTTTTCAAGACAAATAAAAAGACCAAATTCTTGTAAAAACTATGAACTATGCAAATCTATGTAACTTTTTAATTGTGGAAAAATTAATTAAGTATATAAATAAAGCATAAAGGAAAAGTGAGTATTTTTACTCCTTGTTCTTGTTCCAGTACATATTTGCAAAAGAAATGACAGGAAAACTGCCAAAATTCGTATTTTTTGTTTGTATAACAACCAATAAAATTCAGTTTTCTGTTAGTTTTGGGCAAAGCTTGTAAGAGCTGCTGCAGAGGAACCAAAGAGCCGAATGTGAGTCGCAGGTTGCAGACCTCTGTGCTAGACAGTGCACTATTCTTTCTTTTTCTTTTCATTTTCTTTTAAATACCTTCATTTAAAAAAACTAACTCTTTTTTTTTTACTGGTCATTCTTTTAGATGAGGATGAGTGGGTGGATGGAGATGATGATGAGGAGTTTGCACATGTGCCCTACTCACATCCTCGTTACCCTGAGGAGACGATGCTTCAGAGGTCCGATAATTTTTACTCCCTGATGAACCAGCGGCGGTCTGTTCGATTCATCAGCTCTGAGCCGGTCTCGAGAAAAGTCATCGATAACATCATTCTTACTGCAGGCATGCAAATCAATTCACAGTCTTTGATTAAAGCTAAGAAGAAAAAAAAGGATCTTGACCTTGATCTTTGTTGTTTTTGTTTGTTTGCTTCTCTGCCTGCCTTTCTCTGATTAGGAACAGCACCCAGCGGAGCCCACACAGAACCGTGGTCGTTTGTTGTGGTGTCAGATCCCAAGACGAAGCATCAGATCAGACTGATAGTGGAGGAAGAGGAGGAGGTGAACTACCATCAGAGGATGGGGGATAAGTGGGTCAATGATTTGTCCAAACTCAGGTGACACGTTGTTTTTACTTTACACAAAATCCCATTTGTGTCAATACACTAAAAACACAATAAATGGTTTTCCAACCCATATTCTGCTCATTTTGTTCTGCAATTTCTAATGCCATTGTTCTTCTTCCTGCAGGACAAACTGGATTAAAGAGTATCTGGATGTTGCTCCATACCTGATCCTTATCTTTAAACAAGCATATGGGATTCTACCAAATGGCAAGAAAAAGACACATTATTACAATGAAATCAGTGTCTCCATATCCTGTGGAATACTGCTGGCTGCCTTACAGGTGAGAAATAACCTAATCCTGTGAAACGTAGATTAAAAAATCCCAGATTGTTGAGTTTATTTGTGTCTCTCTCCAACAGCCTCAGCATTAATCAAGTTGAATTTCCTTCATGCGTAATCAAATTAAGTTTATCATCTGGTAAGAGAGCTAAATTTCTGTTTTTTTTAATTGTTTTACATTTTCCTGTCAGAACGCGGGACTTGTTACCGTCACATCGACACCCCTCAACTGTGGCCCCCAGCTCAGGCTCCTTCTGAAACGGCCCGCCAACGAGAAGCTGCTGCTGCTGCTGCCTGTGGGTTATCCTGCTGCTGACGCCACCGTGCCAGACTTGAAACGCAAACATCTGGATGATATTATGGTGCACATCTAAACAAATGATTTTGGAATAGTGTCTATAAAGCAAACCTTTTTTAACGTCTAAAAGGACTCCTCTTATCTGCCAAGACTAGAAGGCTATTGTGTGTTTTAATTTTGTTATAAGAATGGCCCGCTGACACTGAAAACTGTTTTGCTCCTTGAAATGCATTAATAAAGACTTTTTTTTAATTTTTTTTACATAAACCCTCATGTTTCAGAGTTACATAAAATTATGTGAAGCTTGTTATTTGCTCAGTGAGGTCAAGGTCTGAAAACATTTAATTAATTGTGGACATGATTTGAAGTTTTTTTTTAATAATTATTATTTGTTGTATTTTTCAGAAAGATACAGCTGGTACCTCTTTAAAATCTTGTGATCTAAATACAAAATATACAATATTGATATTGTCATTTTATTAAAAAGCAGCCATGCTGGAACTCACACTCTCAGACCTGATATGTGTCAAAGAGTTCAAACCAAGTTTCAACAGATGCAAACTTGTCTCTGTGTTGTTGTTTTTTTCTTCTTTCTTTCTGAAATTTGTGCTTTGATATTAATTATATTTGAGGCTACATGTCAACAAAAAGAATAGTGAAAGAAATTGATGGATGCTTTTTATATAATATACTGTACTTAGGTACCGTCCACACAATTGTTTTTGTACAGTGAGACTTGTAAAATAATTAGGCTTGAAAAGCCATTAATAATTCTAGAGTCAGTTTGTATATAAAACACAAATTTGACTCGTCGACAAATCCCGGTTTGAAAGGTTCAAAAATATTTTTTACATTTTGTTGAAGTTGAAAACTGTAGATTTTAACAAATTTTCTTATTTCACCTGCAGAATTTGTTTGATTCAGTATCTACCAAAGTATAAAATATGTAAAAATCAAAATGAAATTATTATTTTTTTAAAACAAAAACACTGTTGTAAAATGTAACCCACATTTTTTTCTGTATTTCTGCATGTGAAGTAATTGTGCTTACTGAATAACAATGAAACTTTTCTACTTTATTATATACATTTTTATGTTATATTTCCAGCAAAAATATGTTAAACAATCTGTTTATCATCGAATTAAACTTAAATACGTTTTTCTTACACGGCTCATGTGTCATTTCCATTGCTACCTGTAGAGGTCAGTATCACAAAGAAAAGAGTAATAGAAGAAGAGAAACCACATTGCGCATGCGTACACCACGTACACCGATGCGTCGAGCTCTCTAGGCTTGATGCTAACAGCTAGCTAACACAGTCTGTCAGGTCTCACACATTTTCTGTGTCTGAAGGGAGGCACGCAGCGGTGGAGAAGAAGGGCGACTGTTGCGCCGCTACGAAATGGCCGGACAGCAGTTCCAGTACGATGACAGCGGCAACACTTTTTTCTATTTTCTTACGTCCTTCGTCGGACTTATTGTGATCCCGGCTACCTATTACCTCTGGCCGCGGGATCAGAATGCTGGTAAGGCCTGACAGTCTTTCTCAGCCGGTGCAAACTAACTTAGCTCACTAACTAACCTCAGATGTTTTAGATGTTTATGTAACATCTTGGCGTGTAAAATGATCCGCAGCCGGAATTCTGTCAAGTCTCCATTTAATTCAAGTGCTCACTTTGGGGCACAGTTAATTCAGCCCAACCCTATAATGTGCAAAGCTGATAATAAATGTCAGCAAGTTGATGCCCACGTCTTTCATCTAGCCCTAAAACTGTGTTATGCTAATATACAGTATTGTTTAAAGTCTTGTTTATTTTCTGTACATGTTTATTTCCCAGAGCCAGACTTTGTTGTAAATTTGAATTTCTTCAGGCTTTCTGAAATATCTTACTGTTGTCTTTTGGACATTAGCTGCTGTTTGTCAGTCCAGTTACATGGCAACTTTTAAAAGGAATATTGTTTTATTTAAGCCCACTAACTCTGACCTGTTAATCATTTAAGTCGCTTAACTCGGTAGATGAATCAGTGTTGATACAACTTAGCAAATCACCAATATAAAACTGGATTTTTGGGCACTAGCAGCTACAGTTGTTCCCATCTCTTCTAAAGGCAACATACATTATTATGGGTTTTAGTGCCATCAATGTGATTCCTAGAGAGTTGTGAGTAGAAAACTTGACACGCAGTAGATGATCAACTCAAGTATGATGCATCTAAAATTCTGTGTCATGATCTTTGCCAGATTTTCTTTTTCAAACATTATTCAAATACATTCCACCTGCTGGAGATAGTTTGTTCTTACCTGTTTAAACTAAAGCACAACACACAAAAAACATTGCAGGTTTGCATTAATTTACCTCAGTGTGATATGTTCTTATCTGTTATACTTTTATCAGCAACACATCATAAAAAGCATATTATTATAAATTCTTATTTACAGTGCTGGCCTGGCATGCACCAGCAGGCATTTGTGGGGTCATGGGAATGGAAACAATAAAATACTGTAACAAAGAAGGAAAACACAAATTACATTAACAACAGTTCATCGTCAAAGTCAAAAGGCATTACTACGCAAGATAACATTTGCAAGTATAATATGCTCTTATGTAATTGAAACCAACAAAGTTGAAATATTTAATTTGTTTAATAACTTTTTCAACTTTTCAGGTATTTTTATCTTCTTGCCATTGATAATACCGTGTATATCTTTTGATTACAGTGGTACTTTCCTAATCAGTCATAACTGCTTTGGCAGAGCTCATGATGAGAGTCAGTAACCTCACCCTATCCGTTGTCTCAACAGAACAGCTGCGGCTGAAGAGCCTGCGGAGGGTACACGGCAGGTGCCTGTGGTATCGGCTCAGGCTGATGAAGTCGCAGCAAAGCATTGTCCCAACACTAAAGTGAGTCCATAACGTTGTGTTTGTCCCACTTTGCGTTGTGTTCTGCTTATAAACTGCTTAAACAGGTCATCACTCATCAGCTGATAACGTTTCAAGATTTTTATTATTGCAGCTGATATCTTGGAGGATTGTAGGAGTTTGATATGAATAACATTTTAAGTTGGTATGGTAATGTCTTGATTACACTTATCAAAGTGCAGATTAAAATGGTCTTCTTTATGAAGTCTAACGCCTTCTCTATGATGGAGTTAGTTTCATTCAGTGTGTTTACAAGAGTGACATCCATTCTTGTGTAAAAACAAAGCTCAGTCATGTTTAACATGGTGTAAGTAGGCAATGAAATTGCTTTGACTACTCTCTCCTTTTTTCTCCAAATCTTCCGTTTTCTTGTTTTATATGTAAACCTTTTAGTGATCTGTTGCAATGCCTGACATGTCTGTTAACGTCACACTGTTTTCCCAGTTATTTATTCACCCTGTGGTTTATAGCAGCTTCTTGACTGTTAGTCTTTATTCGCCCACTTTGCACTCTTGCTCCGTCATCATCGTCCTGTGTTTACTCACCAGCATTTAACCTCCAACGTTTATAAATTATCCTCTCCCACGGTTGCGTTTTTTGAGCCAAAATGGTGAGATAGCACAGCATGTTTCTCTGAAGTGTCAGTATCAGTTTCCTCACCAGTCCTGTATCATAGTGATGGGAGTTATTGTAGAAATGTACACTGTCTTCCTGGTTGAGCTACTCGGAGGACGAAGGCTGGTGAGCTGTTGGCATAGCAACAGATGCTGCTGTGCATAGGCTATAATTTCTTAGGTTTTGTCATGGAAACAACTTGGCATCTGTGCACAAATAAAATAAGAAATGTCAGAAATTGACATGTGATGTGTAATTTACAACAACTGAACAACATTAGCTTCAGCCTGTCTTGTCAAATAAATGTTGCATCTTTCTAATCTGAGCACTTTATTATCACATAGTTGCCTTTTTTCTCCTGCTTGAAGTAGGGTTGTGTGTTGTACCAGTTGCATTCATGTTTGGAGATAAAAGAAAAAATTGGTAAAGCTTTTTTAATGACTCTTCGAATCAGGAGCACATTTTCTCTATCTAAAATAACTCGGATTTAAAAACAGCTTATTTACATGAGCGCCTCTTACAGTTGTAATTTTTGTTGCTACTAGTTGTTTAAAAAAAAATTCTGTCACTTTCTAGACCAAACATTATCCTTGTCGCTGCACTTCATCTACTGCACATTTCAGTTCTGTGTCACAATGAGTTGTGATAAGGATTGCAAAGTTCTGAGAATTTTTAAAATTGGAAAAAACATTTGTAGGCTCAATCATCCAGGTAGATAACAAAACGGTTAAATCATTTCATCTGGACCAGTTTTTTTAAGGGAGAAATGTTTCATCTTCCATCCAGAAGACTTCATCAGTATGTGGCCTGCCCACCAGATCTGTCATATAAGTAGCCTTCATTGTTGTGTTTCAAGCCAACTTTTCATGAGAATTAACAGGAACTGCAGTAGTCCATCGCTACTTCGCAGTTTGTTTATCGCAGACTCGCTCTGTCATGGTTTTTCAAATAAGATTGGACATGACACACAATTGTCTGGTTGATAGATGAGGTGCACGATCGGTATGGAATTTTTATATAAGATAAATAATTTAAAATTATTTAGCACCTGCTGCACATTTGTGCAGCACAGAGCATCTGAAAAAACTTCCTCCTGCAGCTTTATGCAGCCCATACTGCAGGATAAATTTCCTCCTGCAGCTGAACAGCCATGCAGAGCGGAAATGTGGGCATGGCCAAGAGCGCTTGCAGGTGGTTGAGAGCAGCGGAGAGAGAGAAATCATGACTTTACCTTACCATTTTATTTATAGAGCACTTAAAACAGCGGCAAGGCCAACCACAGCGCTGTACAGACAGGAAAACAGGCAACACACAAAGAAATATACAAAATGAGGTAAATCAGAATATAGACATAAAACCGATGCAGATAATAAATATGACGACTAACCAGTGTGGAGCGTACAGGTTCAAAACACAGATCATCTGGTGTTGAAAGCTACTGAATAGTAGTGGGGTTTTAAACAGGATTTAAAAAACGAGAGGGAGGGGGCCTGTCTGACAAGCAGAGGTAACTCGTTCCAAAGTCTTGGTCCTGCTACAGAGAAAGCCCTGTCACCTCTGCGCTTAAGACGAGTTCCTGGAACTGTGAGGAGCAACTGGTCCGCTGACCTCAGGGAACGTGGTGGGACATACGGTTGTAGCAGATCAGAGGGGGGGCTGTTCAGTGATTTGTAGACATACATGAGTATTTTGAACTGGATTTGAAAGTGAACCGGTAACCAGTGCAGTGAGGCCAAAACTGGTGTAATGTGCTCTCTTTTGCCTGCACTGGTTAAAAATCGGTCTGCTGCATTCTGGACCAGTTGTAGTCGTGCTATAGAGGTCTGACTGATATCAAACAGGAGCGAATTGCAGTAATCAAGCCTAGATGTTATGAATGTAATGAATGCATGTATTACTGTCTCCAGGTTCTTTTTGGACAATATGGGCTTCAGTTTAGACAGCCGCCTCAGTTGGAAGAAGCATGATTTAACAATCATGTTTACATGATTGTTAAGTTTCAGGGAAAGGTCCATTATCACGCCCAGATTAGTGACTCTTTGTTTTTCTGACAGGGTTAGAGTGGAGAGGACGATGCAGTGGTTTGTGATCGTGTCGTTGGGAGGGAACAACATGACTTCAGACTTCTTTTCATTGAAACTTGAGAAATTTAAAGCCATCCAGTTCCTGATGTCAGCCAGGCAGTCGAGCACAGGTTGAATAGAGTATGTACCATTGTGTCTTAGGGGGAAGTAAATTTGACAGTCATCGGCGTAGAAGTGAAAGGGCATGTTGTGTTTCCGGAAAATAGCACCAAGTGGTAGCAGGTATAAAGAGAATAGGAGGGGACCCAGGATGGACCCCTGCGGAACCCCCCATTTAAGCTCTGCCTCTGCGGAACTAAAATCCTTGATGAAGACACAAAAGGATCTGTCAGTGAGGTAAGATCTGAACCAATAGAGGGCTGATCATGTGATGCCCACCCACTGCTCCAACCTAGCAATGAGGATCTCATGGTCGATGGTGTCAAAGGCGGCTGTGAGGTCCAACAGGACAAGCAGCACAGAATCACCGGTATCTGTGAATCTGAAGATGTCATTAAAAACCTTCAGCAGGGCAATTTCAGTGCTGTGGAGAGGTTTAAAGCCAGATTGGAATTGTTCTAAGATGGCATGATCCTCCAGGAAGCACTTCAACTGGGACTCGACTATTTTCTCTAGTAGTTTAGAAACAAATGGGAGTCTGGAGACAGGCCGGAAGTTGGATACGACTGAGGGGTCAAGGTTTGATTTTTTGATGGCCGCGGTGCGTTAAAATACAGACAGTTTGGTGGCAATAATTCCGTCAAAGCGCTAGACTCACCCGGAGACATCCAAGTCTCTGTGATGCAGAGAAAGTCCAACTCGTGCTCTTGAATCCCTGAGGATAAAAGTTTTGTTGGTAATAGATCTTGCGTTGACCAAACACATCCGGATACTGTCCAAAGTGGACCCAGCAGCGGTGGAGGGAGCACGCGCCAGTGGCCGCAGATTTACTATAACGGCACCTCCGGGTTGGCCCATGCTGCGTACCAGCCGACAACTCCCGTTGTTTACCTGGTCCGGGCACGCGGGAAGCTGGCTATGGAAACCGTGACCACCAGCTGGAGAGGAAGATGCAACGCGCAGGGCTTTAAGCTTTACCAGCCGCCCAGCACGTTTTCCCTGGCGTCTGGAGCAATATCTCTGGGCAGGCAGGTGAGGAACGCAGAGGAGGTAAACGGGCATGTCCGCCAGCAGCGGGGGAAGGGGGGGGGGGGGGTTGTCCAGCGGTACGCTCATAATGATCCAAATAAGCAACCTCGGCGGTAGAAAATCGAAGATCCAGAAGCTGTTGTCGGTCATACACCAGCAGTGAGTTTATGTCCCAGATGAAAAACAAACAAAACACAAATAATCCGAACACCATCAGCAGAGGTGGATTGCAAGCCATGTACACGGGCGCCATCTTCTTTTTCAACCATGACTTTAGAGTTTAGACACATTGTTTAGAATATTACAAGAGTGTGGGAAGGGTTTAAAAATCTTAATATATACAGTAATCCCTAGTTTATCATGGGGGATCTATCCCTGAAGACCCACGATAATTGAAAAACCGCCAAGTAGGAATAGTAGTAAGTAGTAGTTTATTTTTTTTTAACCCTTCCCATACTCTTTCAATATTCCAAACAGTGTGTTTAAACTCTCAATGCTCTAAAAGAGCACAGCATGTCATGATTTCAGTTCCCTGCCTCCTCTGCCACCTGCAAGCACTCTTAGCCACGCCCACTTCTCTGCTCTGCAGCTGATCAGCTGCAGCAGGAAGTTTATCCTGCAGTAAGGGCTGCAAAAAGCTGCAGAAGGTGTTAAATAATTTAAAATAATTTATTTTAAATAAAAATTTCATACAGATCGTGTGGCTCATCCATCAATCAGCCAATTGTGTGTCATATCCAATCTTATTTTGAGAAACCGCGATAGAGCGAGTCAGCGATAAACGAACCGCGATGTAGCGAGGGACTACTGTATACATATATAAATACTACTTATTACTTGTACTACTATTCCTACTTTGCGGTTTTTCACTTATCGCGGGTCTTCAGGGTACGAATCCTCCACTATAAACGAGGGACTACTCTAATGGGAATAATTGAGAATAAATTTGGCTCTTCCAGGGATTTTAGAAAATTTGTTTTAGCATAAACATTGATTAAAACAATCAGATTCAATTGGAGGTACCAAACCTCAGAAAAAGCATAGGGACAAATGGAAATAGTACCATGTAACAAAGCTTAGTTCAAAGGTGGACTAGTTGTAACCTTGTCTTGACTTGCTCCCTGATTAAAAAAAAAATAAAAAAAACATATGAAGCTGACTGCTGTGTACTGCAGAAACAACATCCACTGCAAAATAAAGTTGTAAGATTTCTGTTCTTTTTGTCATATGTTCACGACCTTTGCTGATTTTTACCACTCTGCAGCACTTGTTTTGTTTTTTTCTCACTTTCATCACTCCAGCTTTCTCGAGCTGAAAGTAACTCAACAATCTTTAAAAAAAAAACAGGTTCACAGGAAGTGAGAATGAGGTCTAAATGCCAACACCCATTTATATTCTGGAATAAATATTTATAGGTCTTTAAAAGTGAGCTGACTGAAGTGTTTGTGGTTAAAACAACAACTTGCAAGCCATACTGTGAAGAGTTTCCTCAAAATAGAGACCCATCTGTTGGACTGATGTTTGCTCCCCTCTCCTGTTTGTATGCAAATCCTTTTAGGAAAGCAGCCTTGCTGTTTGGGTGGGCTGTGTTCCTGCTGCTAGCCTACAAGGTTTCCAAACTGGACCGGGAGTACCAGGAATACAATCCATATGAAGTTCTCAACCTAGACCCGGTAAACTTGTGTTTTGCACAGAGTCTCGAAATCCTGAAAGATCACAAAATCCGAAACCTGTGATCTTTCTCGACTTCTGAGTCAACACAGCGTGCTATAAATTACACTTAATTATACCAGTTGATGGGGTAACACGTTGCTGTTTTTGTCTCCAGGGTGCATCAGTGTCAGAAATTAAGAAGCAATACCGTATATTATCTCTCAAGCACCACCCGGACAAAGGTGGTGATGAGGCCACCTTCATGAGAATTGCCAAAGCCTACGCTGCGTAAGTTTCAATCAGAATTTTTTAATTTCATTGTAGCCAAATATTAAATTACTGTCTGCGTTCTAGAATATAGGATTAACTTGCAAATATTTCCCCCCACTGCAGTTTAACCAATGAACAGTCTCGACAAAACTGGGAAACATATGGCAACCCAGACGGTCCAGGAGGTAAGTAACGTACAGCTGCTTGCATAAATTCACCTTCTGTGGCCCTGATCAACGTTTTATTGTTTTGTGGTAAACGAGAACAGACACGAAACAGTAAAAAACTGATTTGAACTCGTTTTTAACAAGAATAAGAAATAAGTCTCATTGTGCTGTGTTGTGGATTATAGCGCACATACTGGTGCTACTCGTGTTGAATGATTGGCTGTTTTATGTTGCAGTAAAAATGATAAAAATAAATCTGTTGTGATCTCTTTTTAGCCACCAGCTTTGGTATCGCCCTTCCAGCCTGGATTGTTGACCAGAAGAACTCAATGCTGGTATACAGTTACTGATTGAAGCATTTCTAACTTTTACTACAAGATGCTGACGCTGCTCTGACACTTTGGTTCTGTTTCTGTAGGTGCTGTTGGTGTATGGACTGGCCTTTATGGTTATCCTTCCTGTTGTTGTGGTACGTGCTGAGCGATTATTTATTATAAGGCCTTTTTTTTTTTCATACAGACTATCACTTGAAGGGCATGTGATGTAGCAGTTTGAAAATGTTCCTACTTTTTATTGTTTTATTTTGCAACTGTACTTTAGGGCACATGGTGGTACCGCTCCATCAGATACAGCGGAGACCAGATCCTCATCAGCACCACCCAGCTCTTTATGCATTTTATGTACAAAACACCGAATATGAATATGAAGCGTAAGCATTATTCAGTTGTTTATGATTTTTAAAGCTGCTCTAAAGTGTTTTATTCAATTCTACAATCTGATGACATTTTTCAGTTTAATGGATAACATTTTGTTACGAGAGTAATGGCTCAGATATGTAGGTTTTGTTGTTTTTATACTGATTTTGATCCAATCTCCTCCTCCAGGATTAACCATGGTATTAACAGCAGCATTTGAGTTTGAGCCCCGCAGCAATAAAGAAGCCACCATCAGACCCACAGACAACATTGAAGTGCCGCAGGTATGAACAGCAGTGACCATTTGCTTTAGCTGCTAAATTAATTAGAGATGAAATGTCTAAATGGTTTTGTGAAGCTAAGACTCTTAAGAGTCATGATATTTATGTAGAATATAAAATATGGAGATTTGTACCATTTTGTTCCAGCATCTCTTCTTAAAAATAAGATTGAAAGTAAGTCTGCTTTAGTGTTCTTGGATCTAAATTTGATATAAAAACTAAATCTCAAGATGAAAAGGTGTCATTTAAGCCCTTTCCTTTCATTAAAACATAGAATTGAAAATGTTTACAATCACTTATCGCTCAGAGACTCGTTCCCTCCCCAGTGCAGCATTTTAGGCAACCACAGTTCTTGGTTGTTTGACAGGTTTTTGTTCCAGATTTATTTAGCAAGAAATGCTTTGCATTTTTGTTGCGAAACCTGTTGAGGGGATTCTTCTGAAACGTTTAGGACGAACTCAAACAGACTCTGTAAACAGTCTTCGTGCTAACATTAAAGCAACAAACAACTCGAGAATTAGCTGCTTCTGTAGATGACTATGATTTATTGGGTGGAAAATGTAATGAATATAATTATTGTGGCTTTGAATATGAATAATCCTACAGAGTTTATCCTGGCTGTGTTGCAGTTGATCCGTGAATTAGGAAATATCAACGTAAAGAAGAAGGAGCCTCCGTTTTGTTATCCTTACAGCTTAAAGGCCAGAGTGTTGGTGCTGTCTCACCTGGCCCGCATGGAAGTGTCGGAGGAGTTGGAGGAAGGTAGGCATGTTGTTACCCCCTCACTAAGGTGTCAAATGTATTGGCAATAATTTTGTATGTTCTAATATGAAATGTGTTTGTCAGCCTATGCCAACACAAGTCTTTTCCAAAATAGCAGAAGATGGTGACGATTGCTCAGAGTTCTAAAAAAAATCGTAAAAAATAAACACTTGCATTAAGCTTTCAAGAGCTTTAATTTCACTTAAAGGACACAGTGGAGGTAAAAGTTGGGGAAAAGATCTTTTCTTGTTCATGTTATTGATAAAGTCATTGTGATCATTAAACAAGTCATCAGTGAGTTGCTTAGAACAAGTTGTGTGTTTCTGCACCAGATCAAAGATTTGTGGTGAGGAAGAGTCCAGCTCTCCTTCAGGAAATGATCAACGTGGGCTGTCAGCTGACCATGATGGCCAACAGCAGAGGAGGTACACACACACAAACACACACGTAGGCCTGTCGCGATAAACAATAAACCAATTAATCGCGTGATAAATTAAAATTATCGACCTCGTTTTCATTTATCGGCTCTATCGTTTGTTCATGTCTGTCTCTTTCTGAAGACACTGGATGACAAAAAGCTCAACTCCGGTGCTCTTCACTGACCCCTCCTTTTCTCTTTAAAATCAATTTTAACCGTCCAAAGTCGTGTTTTTGGATCGTTAAAAGCAACTAAGCTGAGAAGCTAAGCTACGAGCTAAGCTAACAGGCCGACCTCGAAGAAAAAACCTCCGTCTTGTCAAAGCTCCAAAATTCACGGTTGAAACCTGTGCCTTCATGTAAAAAGTTGTTTTTTTTCTGCAAAAAGAAGCTGAGAGCTTGTTTACTGATTTTTTTTTTTTTAATTAAAAGCTTTGTGTGAAAAAAGATATGCTAATGTGCTCAAACCAAACCGAGCGTCCGCCATTTTGAGAACTGGAAAAAAAGGAAAGAGACAGCCCGTGTCACATCAAGGTACCTCCCTCCCATTTTTTTTAGAGGCACTCTGCTTGCTCCCTCACTATCCATCCTTCGGTTCAGACAGTCTAATACTGCCATCAAATGGTCAAAAAATGTACTACACACAAAAATGAACCAACATTTCTTCTTAGATTTTACAGTTACTAATTATTGTCAAATTTCAAACAATATTATCGTTTATCGCAATAATTTCTGAGACAATTAATCGCCCAGCAAAATTTGTTATTGTGACAGGCCTACACACACGTCAACACGTCAAACATGCCGATGCTTTTTGTCCCTTTCATGCCGACATGATGCGTCCCGTCAGGTTTCCACGCTCCTCGACTGGTAAGCATCGAGAACTGCATGAAGCTGACCCAGATGATAGTTCAGGGTCTGCAGGAGTCAAAGTCGCCGCTGCTGCAGCTACCTCATTTTGAAGAGGAGAACCTCCGCTACTGCATTTCTAAAAAGGTACGCATCACACACGTTTTATTTTATTTTTGACTCGATTGACTTAGATATTTACAACAATTCAATAACAGAAACTATCAGCTATCTTTTTTTTTGTGATAAAATAAACGAAGAAATTATAATTCAATAGCTTGGATTGAAGTTGTAAATAAGTATCTTATTTGGTTAAAAGGTGAATTGTTGGAGTTTTATGTGCCTTCAGTCACCACAAGCTATTAATTTTGTTTAATAACCAAAAAACACTAGTAGGACAAGATCCTTCTGAGAAGGTAACAGTCGCACCAAATGTTCTAAGAAACCGTTTTTCATAGAACCGTGAGCCATTTCAGATTTGACTCCTTCATATTTAAGTTGTAAACTAGTACACTAAACTTTTTCTCTCTGTCCTTCTGCTCTTCAGTATAAGGTGCGAACCCTGCAGGACCTTGTGAGCCTGAAGGACTCTGACAGACGCAACATGATGCGCTTCTTGGGGGAGGAGAAGTATGATGAGGTCATGGTGGTGCTGGGCAGCTTCCCTCACATCATCATGGACATCAAACTGCAGGGTCAGTCCTAAAAGAAAAAAAAACATTTGTAACAGAATCTGTTGGGCACATTGGTTAGAGCTGCTGCCTTACAGCAAGAAGGATGGATGAATGTTTTATCACTAGAGATGAAGGAAAACCATAAATGGGTTAATTTAAGTTTAGTTAATACTCTTTGTTTACCTGGTGAACTGATGGAAAATAAGTGATATAGTTATTTTATATTTGTCCCAGTGTGTGGTCATACTTTATATAGTTTGAAGTGTTAACAACTATTCTCCCTCTGTGTCTTTGCAGTTCTTGATGATGAGGACAGCAATAACATCACAGCAGGCTCTATTGTCACAGTAACAGTTACCTTAACCAGAAAGCGTATGGTGGTAGGTGTTTAATTTGGCTGAACCTCAACTTGAACGCTGCATTAAATTAACAAAAGGAAACGTGTATGCAACCAATCAATACAACTAGATGCATGCATTTCTGTTGATGACCACTAGAGGGTGCTGTTTACTGTCTGCAAGTTTCCAAATTGGCAAACGATTTGTTTGCTGTTTGTAGGATATGTTTGAAAAAGAGCAGGAACCGTCCACGTGTCAAGGAGAGGAGGCTGCCAGTACAGAGGAAACAGTAAGAGCAACACAACGATACGTTGAGATTTTACTGCTTTTGTTACATTTTGTGGTTTTTGACAATCTTGCTGTTTTGTTTGCTATAACAGGGAGACTCGAGTAAAGCTAAAACCAAAGTGTGGCAGAACAAAAATAAAGGAGCTAAGAAGACGGCCAAGTCCAAGAAAAAGAAATTAATCAAGAAGAAGGCCACTCCTGCTCCTGCTAAAACCAAGCAGGCCAATGGCAACTTGACAGGAAACGTAAGCATCAGTCCCATAAATCACAGCTGAAGTCAAGCTGCTTCTTGACCTTTTGAGACATCTTTAACTGCCAGGTGATGGAGGAGAGAAGAAAATGACTGTTTGCAAATTAAATGTTATTTGTTGTGCTGGTGCCCCAGGAAGGCACTGCTCTACCATCAGCTGCGGTAGTAAAGGAAGAAGAGGATGAAGCTTCAGACAAAGGCAGCGAGTCAGATGAGGCAGAAGCCAACAAGGACTCTCCGAGCGAGAGAGACGAAGACAGCGACAAACAAAGCGACACGGAGGTCGATGAGGTGGCTGGAGACGACGAGGAGGTCAGGAAACTTTTACTGGTGCCTAAAACAAGAGCTATACAGAACAGTTGTGTTCAGTAACCGTGATAGGTTTATAATCCTCCACTCATCTCACCTTGTCAGGAGTGGGAGGCCTTACAGCAAAGCATCCAACGGCGAGAGAGAGCGCTGCTAGAAACAAAATCAAAGGTGACGCATCCCGCCTACAGCCTCTACTTCCCCGAGGAGAAGCAAGAGTGGTGGTGGCTGTACATCGCTGATCGCCGAGATCAGACCCTCGTCTCCATGCCGTACCACGTCTGCACACTAAAAGACACAGAAGAGGTGGGATCATGTTCCTAAGGTTCTCTGTGTTGGACGCATTTATAGAGTAAAATGTGGAAAGTGAAATACCTTTACAGCATGACCTATAGCTTTTTTTTTTTTTTTTTTTTTTATTATCAAATTTGCATGAATTTGAATAAAATACCCACCCACACCTTCAAAGAACTTGTACTAAGCACAGAAATATATAAATAGACAACTTATTTCTTAGTAGCTCAAAAAATAAAATAAGAAACTGGAAATCTGCTAAACTAATAAAAGGTCAATTAAACGTGTTCTGTTGAGAAAAGATTGAGATTGAGATGTTTATATTAGCTAAAAAACATTTTGAAATGTAGCTGAAATGGAAGAATAAGCCTAAATTAGCAGAAGAAAGCAGATTGAACACATTTGTTGAATTAGATGTAAATTAGCAGAAATGAGTACACAGTATACAAAATTAGTAACTTAGCCAAGTTACTAATTTTGTATATAATATAAAGCTTAAATTAGAAAAAATAGCTGAAAAGTAGCTGAAAAGGCAAAAAGAAGCTTAAACTACTAGAAGGAAGTGGAAAAAATGTAGAATTAGCTGAAAAACCTAAAATTAGCATCAAAAAAGCTAAATAGTAGCTGAAAGAACAGAAGATGCTGAAATTAGCAGAAAAAAGCTGAAAGTAACAGAAATTAATACGAGAAGCTTGAATTTATCTCAAAACAGCTGAAATTAAATGGAAAAATGCTAAAAAGCTACCTGAAAGGTTAGAACAAGCTTAAATTAACAGAAGAAAACACAAAGAACATGTTTGCCCAATTAGACTGAAAGAAGCAGAAATTAGCACAAAAAGTGGACATTATCTGAAAAAAATCTAAAATTAGCAAGGAAGAAAAACTGCTGAATAGTAGCTAAAACAGAAAAAAAACCTTAAGTTACCAGGAGGAAGTGGACTAGAGAGAGCACATTTTAGTCGAGTTAGGCAGAAGAATGTTGAAATGAGTGCAAAAATATGTGGAATTAGCCAAAGAAGCTAAAATTGGCATTAAAACAGCCAATAGTAGCTGAAATAGCAGAAAAAGCTGAAACTTGCATAAATTAGTTGAAAGGAGCATAACAAGCTGAAATTAGCAACAAAAAAAAAGTTACAAGAAGCACAAACATGTTGTAGTTGGAAAGAATCTAAAAGGATCACAAAACACCTGACGAAACAGCCGAAATTAGCTGAAAGTAGCTGGAAAAAAGTTTAAATTTGCAGAAGGAAGCCGAAAGAAGCTGAAGCAGAACAAAATGTGAAAGGAGCAGTAAAAGGTTGCAAACATATCTAACGATCGGAAGGATGTAAAATGACCTCAGTTGATTTCCTATGAGGAAAAAAGTGGCAGAAAAGGCTAAATATTTCAAAAAGCTAAAGTTGCACCAATACCAAAAGTCATATCATCCTTCTCCTGAATGAGCTAAACATTTTGATATGATTTGTTGAAATAGCATGAAAACTGTGGAACGAGAAACATGCTGAAAGGGTGGGGAGTCGGGGCTGGGGACATTGGGGGGGTCATGGGCCTGGAGCGGTGGTACCCGACTGGGGAGGTGGCTCTGGTGGTTCTGGGTGATGGCCTGTGCTGGCTGCATGCGGGCTTCTGGGCGGTTTGTACCGGCAGACATGGGTTACTGGTCTGGTGACCTGGCTGTCCCTGGGTGGGTTTGGGGTGGACGCGGGCGCGGGTTCTGGGGTGGTAAACAATTATTGAAATTAACAAAGTCCATGCTCAATAATCCAGGTATACAATCTTTTAACATTTTTCAGTTGGGTCGTCTGGACAGTTTCTTTTTTTTGTGCTGAAACGTTTCGCCTTCGATCCAGAAGGCTTCATCAGTCAAGGAAACACACAACACCAAACTGATTCTTCCCCCAACAGCTTACTCCAAAGTGGAACAAACCAGTTATGTTGGTGCTAAGATGGTCTCTTTGTCACACTCCCTCATCCATTGCCGGCCCTCTTCCTTGTTGACAGTCATGTCAAACTGGTTGAAAACAACAAAGTCCATGCTCAATAATCCAGGTATACAATCCAACATTTTTCAGTCAGGCCATCTGGACAGTTTCTTTTTTTGTGCTGAAACGTTTCACCTTGGATCCGGAAGGCTTCATCAGTCAAGGTCAAAGAGACCATCTTAGCACCAACATAACTGGTTTGTTCCACTTAAGCTGTTGGGGGAAGAATCAGTTTTGTGTTGTGTGTTTCCTTGACTGATGAAGCCTTCCGGATCGAAGGCGAAACATTTCAGCACCAAAAAAAAGAAACCGTCCAGATGACCTGACTGAAAAATATTGGATTATTGGTATTGTTTTTTTTATTTATTTTTTATTTTTTATTTTACAGCTCTTTTTTGTTTTTTTTTGCATTAAAACCATTATATATTTCATAGCAATGTAGCCCTTCATTTATTCTGTTGCTAGGCAACCTTTTGTATTTGTCATTATTTCCTCAGAGAGGTGTGTGTTTATTGTGAACAGTTTCACCTCTTGACTCTAGTATTCTCCAGCAACAGCTCAGATTGACAGCAAGGTAAACGCTTAATGAGGGCTCTCCGTAACGCCTGATGACCGGCTGTCAGCGCTCTGAAGGAACTAATCACAAGAGGTGCCCCTTTCATGCATGACAGGTCACCAGCTAGCAATCAATTAGTCTGTCACCTCAACAGCTTCCTCTGAGCGGTCCTGTTGTGTGACTTGTGTGTGGCAGATTGGCTGCTTTCACCAACAGGACAGGCTGTTAACAGCCATCATGCTCTGTGTTTATTCTATGCTCGCGTAATTGCCTCACGGTGTTGATGGTTAGACGTTTGCTCTATGTAATTGAACAAACTAATAATCACAGCCTGAGGTGGCGTAGGTCCAATATTTACACTTGGGCCCTGTCATCATGGGTTGGTTAATTTGTAATTACCCACCTGAGTTTGCCCTTCTGATGGTTAATTTGTAAGGTGATATGGTACTCCTGCTCTTTTAGGTGTTTTGTTGTAAAAACACTTGTGCTGGCCAGCTTTCACTTTTTAATGAGAAGCAAACTTTCTGGTCTGTTTTGTTCTCACTGCTTCAGTTAGTATAAGCCTGCTGTCACGTCAGTGCTATCAGTTTGGTGAAAGTCTTCAGGCTTTTGGCTACAGGTTGATTGATATGAGTATTATTTTTATACATGGGGTGTAATCTCCGTGCATCTGTAAACTTTCACTTGCCCTATCCAGAACTTAAGATCTGCTCAAGATAAGTTACCAAAACTTCATACACATATGCGTCATCATCACTAGACGGAGTGTCCGTACACCTTTCATCACCCCAGCACCAAGGTCAAGGTCACAAATAAAGGTCAAAGTTAAAACAAGGTCTTTGTTTTCCCAGGCCATAACTTTTGATCTGCTCAGTAAGCAGTCTCACTTAAAGAAAGATAAAAAAATATATATACTGTAAGCTGGTTGTAGCAGCTGCTTTATTTTCCTGCTGTATTTAGTAATTGATTAAGTATGCACAGGCATGGACGATGTTTAAAAAGTGGATAATCATTATCGGCTGATATAAAATTGATCCATCAGAGTTTGTCTTATTTTGGTCTGTGTTTGGACAATTGAAGTAGTTTGAGTTTGACTTTTTGAGTCTTGTTTGTGACTCAACATAAAACCTGAGATTATATGTATAAATTTAATATACTAAACAAATCAAACTCCTAATTTTTACATATCAGATTGGAAGCTTTCAATTTAATTATTGACTGGGCCAAGTTATATCAATGGATTTTTTTTTCTTCTTAAATATATCTTTGAACAAGGGTTGAGTAATTATTACTCCAATATTTTAAAAAACATATTTCAAGAATAACATGTGTTTCAAGAAAATACTATGGGGAATCTTGCACTATAATAAAAAAACAATAATTCTATTTTGGTTATAACATCTTGTGTTGACTCAAATTTTGAAATAATTTTAATATGTAGTATTATACCATTGACAAGCAATACAATTTAAGCATGAAAAATAAAAAATAAATTCACAAAATGATGCAATTTCATGGTGTTCTGTATTTGTTGTTGTTTTCCAGGTGGAGCTCAAGTTTCCAGCCCCTTCTAAAACAGGGAACTACCAGTACTCCGTCATCCTCCGTTCTGATTCGTACATGGGACTGGACCAGATCAAACCTCTGAAGGTAACAAGTGATGGGATTTCAAAGTGACTTTTAGTGATTTTCTGCATTACATTCCTGATTTAAAGTAATAATCTTCATCCAAATAATGGTTCTTTTTCTAAGTCATTGGACTACAGACTCACCAGTTGCTGGTTGGCCAGTGATTTTAAATACGTAAAGTCTAGTTTAAATATGCAATTTAGAAAAATATCCACAACTGCCACAGCCGTTTTTTTCTGCTCCGGCATCTGCCATTCAAATAAAAACTTCATAATGGTTTTAAAATCTTCAACGTGTTTAGTTTGAAGATCATAAAATGATGTCCCTCCTATACCAGCACATGTTGAATGTGTTTCAGGAGGAAACATCATTTCTCAAGTTAAATCAATGGTGGTTAATGTACATTACACCAAACACTTATTAATTAATTAATTTTTTAGTGCAGTTTAGTATTTAACATCAAAATGTGAAGGAAAATACAACTTTTTGCTCCCGTCTTGACGTCCTCGGTTGTAACACTAAACAAATTTATGTTGTGAATTTTATTTTAGCTAGTTAAAAATAACACCAAAGTTTATTCTCAGTAATCAGGTATAAAATCCAACAATGTTCAGTCAGGTCATCGAACGGTTTCTTTTTTTTGCTGAGATGTTTTGTCCTTCATCCAAAGGACTTCTTAAGTCTGAGGAACCAACAAAATAAACTGTCCAGATGACCTGACTGAACATTACTGGATTTTATACCTGGATTATTGAGCATGAACTTTGGTGTTTTGAACCACTTTGGCTTGGCTGCCTCAGAGGAGTTGAGGGGGGAGAGGGCGGGCCCTGGAGGCCATCTTAGCACCAGCAAACTGTTTTTTCCACTATGGAGTATGCCGTTTGTGGGAATCAGTTTTTTTGGTAGCTCCTCAGATTGAAGAAGTCCTTTGGATGAAGGACGAAACGTCTCGGCAATAAAAGAAACCGTCCAGTAGAGCTGTCATTTCTAGCCCGAATCGGGTCAGACCGAGCCATAATAACGTGTGGGCCGGGCCGCTCTCGGGCTTTGATGTGATTTTAAGAATCATACAGCACAAATAAAACAAAATAAGAATGCGCAATATAAAATTATGTTAATGTACTTGTTGAGGAGGAGGCAGGTCCAACTGGCCAATTGAAAAAGGTAAAAACAGTTTCCAGTTAAGCTTCAGATGGATCAGCTGATCACCTGCCGCATGCATCTCCACACCTGCTCTCATCTGCGGTGAAGGAAGTTGCAGAATCTACAAAAGCTGAAGCGAGCAGCGCGTTCAATTAAAATAGCCTTGTTCTATATTTTTCCAAATAATTTTACTCTAAAAATATTTTTGTTCATCTGTATAATAGCCGATCTTTAGAGTTGATTTTTTTTTTAGGCTATTTGTTTTGTATGTTAATATCCATTTGGTGAAACAAGAAATCTTACATCATCCTTTCTTTGAAATACGTTTTAAAAATTTCATGTCAAACTAATTTGCTTACAAAAGCAGTAAAAGCTTAATAAAAAAAAAGTTTTTTGGGTTTGGGCCTACATTTAATCCTTCAGTTTCAGTTCAGGCTCGGAAAAATTGAGACAGGTTCGGACAGGGCCTGATTTTTTTTTTTAGGCCCGAATGCAACTCTACCGTCCAGATGACCTGACTGAACATTGTTAGTTAAAAATAACAAATTTCTTGCATTGACTTGTAAGGTTTTCAGTTTTTGTGGCGGCCTTTGCTTCACAACTTGAAAATCTATTTATTTACATGACCAATGTTTGTTGACAGCAGAGTCAGGACAAACATTTCCAGATGTTTAATAAAAAGGAAATGATCAAAACGGCACCATTATTGTTCTGGTTTTTAGCACGTGTTGAATACACTGAGCAGTTGTGGGCAGACTAAGAGAGTTCTTTGAAATGTGCTCAGTTTGGAAAGTGTAAAAACAGAAATGTTTGTTCAGTCACATGACTGAGAAGTGCTGAGTAGGACATGACCCGCAGTGATGCAACAAACTAGTTTCTTGTATTTATAAACTTATTGTTTTATGCTAGCTGGAGGTCCACGAAGCCAAGGCCGTGATGGACAACCACCCGCAGTGGGACATCCCCGACACGGAGGAGGAGGACGATGAGCAGGAGGACAGCGACGGCATCGAGGAGAGCGACGACGAGGACGAGGACAACGACTGAATGTGTAGACAAGCACGCTGGGCCCCTCCCCCACCAGGACTGGCCACCCATCCACTAGTGACGAGGAGAAGCAAAGCTGTGCCTGCCACAAACACAAGAAGTCCCTGGGACAGTTTCTACACACAGAACCCTCCACCCTCCCACAAACTGCGACCCAACCCTCCTGCCCCAGTTCCACCTTTTTACAGAGACTCGGTCATTCGCTGTCCGCTGCTGGCGGGAGTGAATCCTGTGAATACTAACTGGCCTGAGTGTGAGTGTGAGTGTGTACAGTATGTGTTTGTACAGATACGAGAGATGAACACACTTTGGACTGGAGGACCTATTAGTATATTATGGGCTCTTCTTTTCCTTGAAGGGAAGAGTGGATTATGTAACAGCTAATTCCATTTGCAAAACTAATACAAACATGACTTGGTATGGAAATGACATCATCACTCTTGCTCCTGTTTTTAAAGTCACTCAGCGTCACTGTTTTCCTCACCAATAATACTTTGTAAACCTAATCTGCAGAGGTGTGAGCTTTAGCCTTTTGTCTGGGAACTTTGGAGCTATTAAAGAAATGTTTTCTCCTTTCACTGCATAGGGGGCACAATTTATTCTTTGTTTTAACGTTATACCTGCTGTTCACTTGTACAAACAGTATATTCTCTGTATGTGCAAGGAGGTGTCTACAGAAAGATCCTGGACTTTTTGTTTTTTTGTCCCTGAAGGAACGATTTTCAGCCTGACCTGCTCATAGCGTGGAAGAATGAACGAAACCTGCAGTGTTAAGAAACGATCGAGCTTTGTTTTCATAGAGCACATGAAAGTTGTGTCTTCAGTCCTTAAAGGGACAGATACTGATGTACAGATGTGTGCACACATGTGGTTCTTCTTCATTTTCCTTTGTCATGTCTGTTGTACATTCCAGTGAATAATCCATGTCTGATAAAGGCCTTATGAATCCACCTTCAAAACACCACAAGCCCTCTGGGGACTTTTTTGTTGTCGTTGTCATAATTAGTAGTGTTTTTCAGTTTGGAGTCTGCTTAGTGTTCTGTTCAGTTATTTCATTCACCTTCCCATCTAAAAACCTTCAAAGAGGAGTTACTTTGCAGTTTTATTTGAAATGTGACGATGTAGAGCAGGGCTATTCAACTAAACTGCTCAGGGGGCCACAGTTACTGCAGCCAAGAGCTCAGGGGCCGGACATCCTGCAGTTATTCATTCAGGAAGTTTGTTTTATGGTTTAAAATCTACTTTTATTTAAAAATGAACCGAGTTCTCCTGTGGGCCTGGTTTGGCCCCCGGGCCTCCAGTTGAGTAGAGGTTTCAGTGTGATGTTCCTGCCCTGGTCAAACTCCCGTTGAAAGTACCGTTTACTTTCAGACGACCTACTTTCTCTAGCACCTTTTCTTCCAAACCATTCAAAAGCACAGAAAGCTTTTAGGATGGAAACCTGGAAGACTTTTTTTATTTTTTTTATTAGGGAAAGCAAAAAATAAATAAGGAAATGACTCATTTGAAGCATTTTTTGTTAAGATTTTCTTCTAACGGATGTAACAAGTTTTGTTTAGTTGCGTTCTAACTTTTGTGTTTGTGTGTTAAGATTGTTGGGAGAAAAATTTTCTGACTTTCTGGGTTCTCACTGTCTGCGTCTCAGCAGTTTTTAGTTTTTACAGAAATGTGTAATCACAACAAATATCCGTACATTAACTTTTTTTTTAATATATAGTTCATAGTGTCATATTCGTGTGGAAGAGATGAATTTAAATCTTGCTGGGCCAGCTCTCCCACCAGCTCAGGCACAAACTACTGTAACGGTTCAGAGCAGGTGTTTGCTAACACTTATTCATTGTATTCTGAGTATTTAGCCATCTGTAATCAATGCATTAATGCTGAGTGGGGAAGGAAGGAGGGACTGCAGCAAGGTTAGATAGGACACCATCCCTCCCATTACAGAACTGATCCGGATGACCGATCCTCAGACCGTCTCATCCCAGACAAACGACTTATCGATCTGCCACTTTTGTTTACAAAAGAACTGTCATTGTAAATGAAAAAAATATATATTATTTGTATTTAAAATCATTTCAAATAAAATCTTTTAAATGATTTGTGGATGGTTGTTGATGGTTAAATGCAAGCGCTGTCCATTGAGCATTTGTTTTAGTGCAGTTCCTGGAAGCCTCACATCACCTGTTTCTAATATATATATTTTTGTTTGTTTGTTTATATGAATATCTGTCAACAGTTTGGGTGAATACTTTGTTAGCTCATATATCTTCAAGGTGTGTCACTCCTTCAGTGGTGCCTCAAATTGGGGGCTGGGTGAGTCAATGGGACCTAGTTGCTTTTGGCCGTTAGTCTGGTCTTTGATGAACACTATCCTTTATGTTTTTGTTGTTTTCTTGCTTTGACACCTGATTTGAACAAATGGGTGATTGACAGGCTTCTGCAGAACTTGATGGAAGTAATTAAATCACTGAATCAGCTGTGTTGGTGCAGGGAAACAACTAAAGCATGCAGGATGGTGTTCATTGAGGACCAGGGTCGGGTACCACTAAACAACAGTGACTAGATCCTCTGAGGATAAAACTTTAAATCTAGCTTCACAAAGTTTTATAAAACTTCCAGGATCTGTTTATGGGATTCCACAATTTACCTGAAAGCAGAGGAGTTCACACATGAGCACTATGGTTGTAGTCTGTCATTAGTTATTCTGCATGTGCAGAGCCACAAGAGTAATGATGGTGGACAGCAGAGTGCTGTTTGTTCTTCTAGTTCTTCAATTTGTAAAACATGTATAACTTCACTGCCTCCTCGATCAGCAAAGACACAAAAATCAGCGCCAGCTTGAACTGGCATTCAACACGGTCTAGTGCAGGGGTCTGTGTAGTCCCTCTGCAGCGGCTCTTTCAAGCTGTGATCAAAACAAACGTTAAACTGAATTTTATTGGTTCTTATAGCAACAAAAAAGGCTAGTTTATCAGGTTTTTTTGTCATTTCCTTTGCAAATATGTGAATACTAGAACTAATACAGAGTAAAACATATTTACTTTCACAATATGCTTTATTTATTCGAAGTAGAATACTTAATTTTTCCACAATAATAAAAAAAATAATAATAATCACATAGACCTGCATTGTTTTATTTGGGCAAGAACATATTATATTTCCTTCTTTACAAGAATTTTGTCTTTTACTTTGTCTTAAAATGTAAAAATATCAACAAAAGTTAAAAATCATTAGATATTTAGCTTTATAATGTCACCCGTACTGGCTAGAAAAGCACCCTCCAACAATGTTAAAGTGGTCCGCGGGCTACCAGTTCACAGTTGTAACAGGTTTTGTAACTCTGGACACGTTTAATTTAATGAACGAAAGGGCAGAAATGGCTCTTTTGATTGTAAAGGTTGCAAATCCCTGGTCCAGGGTGTCCCCCGCCTCTCGCACATTGACCGCTGGATATGGGCATCTGTGACCGCCCGCGACCTGAAAAGGAAGCAGGTGATGGGTGAATGGATGAAAGGATGCTTCTCAAGATCCCCAACATGATGTTTGCACCACTCACAGTCTGACCCCTTTAACTATTCCTGGTCTTTATTATGATGAAAAAAAAATTAAGCTAAAACTCAGAGTGCACTATAGTAAAGACAAGAATTGTCTACTTTTGATAATTAAGCTTATCTTGCTTTGTTTCTCCTGCTGAATGACATCATCGTCTTTTCTCCTGATCCCTGCTGTGCTGCTGGAGGACAGTTTTAGACGTGTCTATTTAGAAAACAGTCACCCTGTAATCTCTGATTGCAATTAAAATAAAACTAATTTCATCACCTAACTAATAACTTATAACAATATGGCTTTCCATTCTTCTTCGTCAAACAGTATTTAATGATAATCCCTAAAGCTTTTGTGTTTAGAAGTCTTTGTGTGCACATAGGCTCTTTGTAATTAAAATGTTTTGTGATCAGACAACGCTTTAGAACTTTATCAACATTTCTATAAGGGTGGAAATTAAAATTTTGCCTTGAAGACAGCAAACCAATCTAACTGTTCCCGCTGGGCCTGAAGGTGACAAATAAAGCCCACCCTTTGGTAAACAATAATTACCAGAAAGGAAGATATATTACAGGGTCAAAGCTCCTGCATGTTTCCTAGCTTCCTTTCCTCGGCTTCTTTTTGTTCGGTCGTATACAAAGAGCCTGAACTTCATTACATCCAGCTCCCTTGAGGCCAAGTGTCATTCATTTTACAGCACAGAAGACTCATTATTTCCAACACTTTTATCATTAGCACAGCCATCGTCTCCCATTAGCCTAGACACAATTTCCATGACCTCTGCACACTCACGTCCCTCATTTTGTTTCTCTTTTAATGCCTTTTCTTTTATTCTTCATCTAGCCATCACTCTGCCAGTTTTTTTTTTAATCCACCTATTTTTGCCAAAGGGTTGAAGGGTTTAAAACTGATTATCAGAAGTATTTGACAAATAATTTAAAATTAACTAATGGTGTAGAAAGTAGTACGCTTGATAGTATGAGACCGAGATAGCAATAGATTTAAACAATTAAATAAATAAAGCTTCAGATAAAATATGTGTTTTTATGAACCATTCTTGATGGTTTTGCTTAGGGATGCACAATATTATCAGCATGGTATAAGTATTGGCCGATATTAGTGATAAATATTGGATATCGGCCATTCCATCAAAATAACTCACAAATATAAAATGCGCTTATGACATCACGAGCGCCATTGAGTTTAGATTTGTTTAAAATTTACAAACTTGCACTGTTCGAGTGTTGTCATTGTGTTAGAGAGAGTAAATGTCATGAACAAATTTGACATTAAATATAATCCAAGTCAAAGTGTTACACCATTTTCAGCCCCCTTTTTAACATCTGCATTCGGTAGCAGGCCAAATTGACAAAGACCATGCAGAATAATGTAGTTTTTTAATTCCACAGCAGAGAAAGCTATGTAGTCTCTGTAAGTAGGTCTAGGAAAAAAATTATCAGTATTGGTATCAGTTATCGGCCTAATAAGTTTTAACATATCGGCATATCGGATATCGGCCACGAATTCAATATCACGCATCCCTAGTTTTGCTGTATACTATGTAGATCAAGTAACACAGTGGTCATTTCTGTGGTCTCATAATCTCAAGGATGCAGGTTCAAGCCTAGGTTGTGTGAGGAAGGCTAACCGGTGTAAAACATTTACCAAACCTTCATGAGTTTGCTTGCTGTGGCAAACCCTGTAGAAGGGAGCAGCTGAAGGATGGAAGAGACAAGAAGGTTTTGCCACAATCTCAGCTGATGAGCATCTCTCCTGTTTTTCTTCTCGAACATCTCAGAATGGGGCTTTTAGTTTACCTTTTCATTAAAGCTGTGTGACCTTCAAATGTAGGGGTGTCAAATTCATCTTCACACAAGGAGACAACACTTTTGAAAAAGGAAACATAAAATGCCATGCTCTTCACATTTTTTTTCTTCTAAATTATTCATGCAATGAAGTCAGAACAGAGTTTAATGGAACATTTTAAAATAAAACCCAGGTTTTATTATTATTTTTTTTTGTCTTCATTTGTTTCACAATTCTTTAACTGGTTTCTAATAAAATACTTGACCACAGGCCATCAAAACAGCTAAAAAAAAAATCAACCTTCACTTAAAATCCAGACACATTGCTACTAACATTTTACCTTAAAATTACAGTAGTTAACAAGCCATCCACACCTCTAGATGCAGGAAAAGAGCCACCTGCATCATGAAGGACCCCACTCACCCAGCACACACACTTTTTGCCCCGCTCACCTCAGGAAAGAGTTTAAGGAGCAGTTAAGTGTAGAACCCCTAGACTGAGGAACAGCTTCTACCCTGAAACTGTTAGACTCATGAATCTCTAACCAGAATAATCACTGTGAAAAATCACATCATGCTGCTGCTGATCTGTTTCATGTTGCTGCTGATCTGTTTCATGTTGCTGTGCTCGTTCATACTCATCTGCTCACACAGAC